GGAGAATATATAGGTGAATTGAAGAAGCCCTCTTACTCCACTAACACCCAGAACATCCAGGCAGGTAATCTAAAAAAGACAGGATGAAAGATTCCAGTCAGTGAGAGACCCAGGATGGGAAGTCTCAGCAGGGATTATTAGTGATTGCCTTGCTGCCTCACTGCCCAGATGCCACAGTGATCAGGAGAAATGAAAAGCCCAGGAAAATGAGCACAGGCTCTACTGTTTTCTTCCCTTTCTCTCACTCTCCTTTTTTTTCCTTTTTCTTTTTTCTTCTTTTTTTTTTTTTTTTTTGTTCTGGCAGCACACCACCTTAATTTGCTGTTTGCACTCAAAGGATTCCTGTTTGAAAATGGTCCTGGAAATTGTGCTATGAAGAGTGTCCTAAAAAGGAGCTTATGACCACTATCCATACTTATTTACTTGCAGTAGATGCATTTGAATTTTAAAGACAGGCTCTTCAGAATACTGGTAAGCTTTTTACTGGTGCATTTAGAGATCAGAGAAAGAAAACAAACTGTGTTTGAAAATATTAATTAGTCAGCAGTGAAAATTACGGAGTTTGCAAAATCAATTCTAGAAATTAATCAACTCTTGCACCTTTATATTTGCCAATGTAGGTCTTGTCATAGCAGGCTTTACTTCTAGATCTGGATTAGTCACAGATTTTTTATATCTTGCTAAAGTTTAAACCTTAAAACTTTGAAACAAAAAAAAAATATCTGAATGAATTAAAAATACGAACTAAGAGTTAAGTACTTGAGTCTCCATGTTACATCCATTATTAGGTGGAATGAAAAAAAGTTAACAAAACAATTCAGCTAAACAGAATTAAAACTTCTTAAATTTCAAATAGTGCTGCCATTTAGAGATTTGAAGCTTTTTTAAATAATCATACAATTTTCCTGAGAGTCTTTATGTAGTTAAAACCTTGTATGAGTAGTACTCAGAATTTCCACCTAGACACTTCCCTCATGCCAGCATCTTTAGTTCCAGGAGTGCTCACCTAATCAGCACAAGCAACTCAAAATCAACTGGAGTGTGCATACCCTCGTGCCCCTCCTGTGGTAAAAAACATGAGGCAGTAGGAGGAAAGCCAAGGAATCTGGAGGGGACAAAGCACTTGAAGCAGGTGTGAAGATAATTTGACAGTGATACATAGGGCACAAATAACACAACTCAGAAGACACCACCCTGCACAAATGCTCAGTGCCATCTATAACTTTTAAAATTCTGTTTCTTTTCCTCTTTCTTGATTTTGCTGTGCTTCTTCTGCATTTCTCCTCACTCTTGGATTTTTCAGCTTCTCTGAGCTGAGCTCTTTGGGGATATTCCCTCATGGGGTGTCTCACTTATCTCAGTTCTCTGGGTCAGGACAAAAACTTCAAAGCTTGTTAGGATCTTGTTTTTCATGTTTATTAGGATGTTATCACAAAACTTGGCAGGTCTCTTCAGACTTTCTGCACAAGTTTAATTTACTGCAACCTGGCTCATTTTGGTTCTAATGGTACAAAATGGCCCTGAACTACACAGTTCTTTTATCTTTATACTTATTGTAATAGATCGCTATTGTTTGTTAATCAAATTTAATACAATGGGATTGCTGAAACATGTGATTGCTGGAATATGTGATTGCTGAAACTGCAAAAAGGCAAAACCACAGTATCCAGCTGTACAAACAAGAATAAGAACATCTCCTTATTAGGAGATATATGTTATAAGTTGCATAACTGGTATAGGACCAACGCCCACACACGGACTGAGGAAGACTACAAGCCTTCAACCCACAACCACCAGGAGGCAGAGGACGACCACCTAGCAACAAGCTGCACAAGCACAGATGCAGCCCAGGAAGAAGTAATGAAGGCACATATACAAGAACTGTATATAAGGGGGAACTTTTTCAGCTAAAGTGCACGCTGTTGGTGGAGCGGAGACTCCCCAGCCTGCCCAGCACTGCTCTTGCTTGCTCTACCACTTGCTAAATTAATCAAATTGATGTTCATGAATGATCATCTAAATTGGCTCTTTGATTTAGTCACAACAATTTGTAACATTTATTCTTATCTAATTAACAATAGACACGTATATTTATTTTTTTTAATGACCCGATGACCCATCACCTGTGTACTGCATTGCGGCATTTTCTATCTAATCACTTACTATTACTCAAAAACCTCTAGAAGAAGAACATGAAGAAGAAAGAAGAAAGAAAAAAAACAATATTCTAAATCCTCCATCTTGTCTTCTGCTTTCTAAAGTAGTTTAAACTCTAAACTAGTTTAAACTCTAAACTTTAACTTTTTCACCCAGTGACTTAAGAAAACTTCTCTAATCTACACACTTATACTTCTAGCTTTTTTATCTAACTTTAACAGTTGTTTTCATGTAACACTATGAAAACATGCCTATAAATTTCATGTTATATGAAATTCAGGGTTCTCCTGGATCTCAGAGCCAAGTATCAGAGACAAGTGCACGCACTCTGTGTTTCAGACTCCAACACCATCAGAGCTGTTATAGTGGATGGCAGAGGGGAAAGGTGCTTTGGCGATGGAAAATACTGGGATCAGATGGTTGGGCTGAACCTTTGCTACCTGCATAAATTCTCACCCCAAGATTTTTTTCTGATCATAGTTTTTAAATTCTATCCTGTTGTACAGGCTGAATAATGTCATAAGTAACTATTTCTTCTGAGCATTTCAGGTGGAAGTTAGGTTACTGCAGGAGCAGTCGAGTTCCCAAATGTTCATCTCTGCTTTCCAGACCCCTCCCAGCTGTGCTAACAATGCCATCTGGTGTGGGGAGCTGAAGAGATAAAGTGACCCAACTAAGACATAACCCACCAGAAGAAAAAGTTTCTTTTTCAGCTACATCAGTGTCCTTTATGGTCATGCACAGCAGGAGACATCACCACGATAAAAATGGATGAGTAGTCAGGAATAACAGGCTTCCACTGTCATTCTGTGTCACAGCCCCAAAATCACGATCCCTTGCTTGAGACTCCTCTCCTGCAGTATTTTGGATCTAACAGAAACTGTTTTAAAGAAATGATTGTTTAAGGATGAAAGTCAAGTGTTCCCTGAAAAACATGCAAGTGAGCAAAGAGGGAGCTGGGAATACTAGCATAGAAATCATACAAAATTACAATGACCTAAATATTTATTCCCAAAGAAAAGGCCTGCTGGCCCATTCTTTTGGTTTTTTTGTGTTTTTGGATTTTTGTTTGTTTTGTTGTTTTGTTTTTAATTGCTCCTTGTGATAAATTCTGCTGGCTAAAACATCATCTAAAATGCAATCCTGGGTGCAGTGTGCTAAGTGTTTCTGCTGATGCTACTCAATAGTCACTCTCCCACACACACACTGACACAAAAGTGGAAAAAAACACTTTTTTAAAAAAAAAAAATCTGCAACACTTATTCTGTGAGGAACATAATAACGGACCTCCTAGGAGTGTAGAATCTTTTTTCTACTTTCTGTACTCCCTTTTTTCTCTGCTCTGTTCTGGGATCTGCTGTGTTTCCAGTGCATTAACTTTCAAAGGCATGAGAGTATTTAAGTGGAAGACAGAGTAGAAGTCACTATCATTAAAAACAAAAAAAAGAGGCAGAGGTGGTCAGCAAAGAAGGATTTGGGAAAGCAAATTATCTGAAAAAATGATGAAACTATGATTTCTTTATTATCTTGAGAGCGTAACATACATCTCAGTAAACTGGTGGACCTTCCAGCATGCCTAACCTGTTTCATGGAAGTCACTTCAGGGACCCAACTGTGGTGCTTGATTGTGTTGTTTATTTTGGGCATTACTGTTCCCCTGTAAGGAGGGTTCTTTCCCTCCTTCTTCCATGTTGTCTCTGCAACAAAATGTCCTAGGTGTGGGACAGCTTTTGCCTGGAGGAAGAATAAGGATCACAAGCATGCAAAGCTGATTTCCCTTGTTCATCATGCTTACAAGATAGAACAGAAATTGCTATGTTAAAATTAAAAAGATACATCATGCTAGAAACTTCTGGTTACAGGACTGGACACTAGCAAAATTCTAGTTGTGCTCAACAGAACATGGTGTTTTACTGAAAGGGCCTACAGGATATTCTTTTCTCGGTAGTTTTTTTTCTTTCCCTGAGATTCTTCTGAGATGTAAGAAAGGTCTGAGCCTAAAAATAGTTTAGCCCAAATACACTTGTTGAAAGACCCCCGAGCTGTTCACCAGTCTTCACAGAAGTAATTGTGAATGCCGTTTATTTCTATTATTAACACACCTTTTATAGGGTTCTACAGGGTCTGCGGGCAGAGCAAGCTACTATTGGCTAACACACACAGGTTTACATTCTTATCCTTGTACACAAGGATATTGTTTTGCTTTACTCTCTCTTCTGCAGGCAAGTTTCAAGGATTTTAGCCCTTAATATCACGACTTATTTCAAAGGCTGGTTTGTGCATACCGGCCTTTACTAATATACAAAATATAGCAACATACACTGACTTGCATTTTCTGGAGCTGCAGGCACAAACCCAAGTAGCTCCTACAATGACAGACAGCAAACTTTCCCTGAAGCATCTTTCAGGGAACCAGTTAATTAAATATTATGGTCACAAGGCTGAAGAGTAAATGTGTGTAAGAGAAGAGAAGGGAAACACAGGAAAAAGCTCTGGAAGAAGGGAGGGGGGAAGGGGGAATGAACCGACCAGAGGCAGTCTTGGGGCAGTCTGATAAAATGTTTGAATCCTGAACAGCCTGATAATTTTTATTTTTTTTTTTAGCTGATGAGCCTCCCTACAATGTCAGCCAATACACCTGTGAAGACCTCGCTGCAGACTGAGACAGCGAAAGCTTCTACCTGTCACGGGTGACACGCACATTAAGAACCTGCTGGTGACTCTGACACTTTCTGCTCGCGTTTGCGGGGCCCCGGTGATCCTCCCCTCTCGGGAGCGAGGCGAGGGGTCCGGAGCATCCAGCAGGTCCCAGAGGGGGAGGGCAGTGCCCCAGAGGCGCGGGAGCTGGCGGGGACACCCGGCAGAAGTGACATCGGGCAGAGGGGACACCGAGCAGAAGTGACACGGTGGCTGGAGAGGGCTGGGGGAGCTGCGCTGCTCCTGCGGCTGTCCCGGCGCTTCCGAAGGAGAAAAGAATGAGAAGCTCCGGCTGCGCAGCCGCCCCGGCCCCAGGCGGTCTCCTGGGGCTCGGGATTTACTCCTGAACCTGCTTTCAGGAACCGCCCCCTTCACGGTGTGCGGTGACCCGCTCCGGCCATCTCCCCTTCCTCTCCTTCCTTGAGCAGCCGTGTGCTGGCGGGGTCACATGCTTGGTCTTTGGTGCCTTTAATCCCACCCTCAGCGCCCGAGAGGGAGGAGAGAAATTCGCGGAAGAGAAGTAAGACAGACGCCGAGAGCGGGATCGCGGTGGGAGAGGAGCTGCGTGCGGGAGGGAGGCAGGAACTGCCCAGCGGATCGGGTAAATCTGCCACACGGATCGGGTGAATCTCCCGCTGGGATCGGGCTGTCCCGGGGGGATGCTTCCCCTTCCCATGCGGGGGATAAAAGGGAGGTGCACGGAGGCTGCGGGAGCAGGGGAACGGGGGAGCCACGAAGTTATGGCTGATGAGCGGCCGCAGCTGCTTATCAGGGCTGGGCTTGGCTGCTGTGGCTGCGGCACCCGAGCCAGCAGGGAAGTGGAAGCTCTCCAGGGATAGAGGAGATGTTTCTGTGCTTGCTCCGGCCATGTGCCTGTACATGGTGACGAGCAGGAGGACAAATAGCCAGAGCCTGGCCGGACCTAGAGAAACGGCCCTTCCCTTGGGTTAAGTGGAATTCTTAAGGGAACGGGGAAAAGCCAGCCAACTTCTGCTCCGTGTTTGGTGCCACCCAGGGGAGCCCTCGCCCGAGGTAGAAGCGTGGCCAGAATCTCTCTGGTCTGAAATCCGGGCAAGGAGATGAGGACTGGGCACACTGAAATGCCCTCGGTGTCCGCTGTCTTGCAAGGACGGCAGAGAGTGGAGGTGGGATCAGCTTTTCTTGTCTAAAGCCCTCTCCTCTTAGACCATCACCACTGAGGTAACTGCTATTAATCCTGTGCTTTACGGGTTACCTTGTGCTACCTGGCAGCTCTCCTGAAGGGAATGAGGAGCACCTAAGCAACCCAATGGCCAAAGTCGCTGACATTTAGAATCAAAGGCTGTTGAGGAAATCTGCAGTTGTGCTGTGATGCAGCAAAACATGAAACTATGCTGATGTACACTACCGGTTCCTGGGCTGGCTTCTCTCCTGCTCTCACTGAGAAAGTAATTTATGTACAACCACTAGGGCACATGAGGTTCAGCAAGTATTTGCAAACACAAAAGCCAGGAGAGACACCCTCCTGCACGTGTGAAATCTGCTGCTTGCTTTCTTGTCTGTCCAACAAGGGCATTACAAATCATAACACAGATTATTTTTCAGCACCTGCACTTACCTCATTTTCTCCCTGTAGGGCTCAAGCAGATCACCAGGACCCCCCCATAACCAGGGCATTCCATTTACCACTCCTTCCAAAGCAGGATAAACAATCTGGTTCATATGTTGTGGGGGAGGGGAGGAAGAGGGTGTATATTCCTCAGGCACAAGTGCTGAATATAAAACAATCAGCAGTTTAACAATAGTAAAGAGTGTCTTCAAAGAGGAGTGCTTTTTATCAATATGACTAAACATTTTTCTTTCAGAGGTTTGAATCACAATACTCTGTGTACACTTTTAAATTTTGATTGTTACCTAGACTGTCCCAACTGGAAATTTTCAGCTTTGTCATCAAAGGCCTTTGTTCACAAATTCTACTTCCTTATTCCTGTACTTTATTCTTCACAGTCATAAACGAACAACATGCTACAATGTCTGCAGTGTTAGCAGCCATCACTGCATCTGTTTCCTTCTCTCTCCCTCTCCCCCCATTCATATGCTCACAACTCTGCTGGCACAAGTGAATTTTTAAGAGAATTCATCATTGTGGGGATAACAAAAAGGGTTTAATAATTATTAGATGATGATCAAATGATACTTAACGACAAATAAATTGCAAATGGTGATGAAGGAATAATTAAATTATAATTTAACAATGATTTAACAATAATTAATAATTAAGCTGTAATGAAATGGTAATTGAAACATGTTTTAGTTTCTGATTTCAACAATGATTTAAACCATGATTAGTTGCTGCTAAACTTCTACACCTAAAGCTATAGCTGGATATATCAATGCCATGAACATACAGTATACAAAATATACAATTTTAATGCAAAATGTGTTACCTTACTATAGACATCAGGTATAAGGGGGTCTCAGCCTCCAGGACTGTCCTTGAGCAATGTCCCAGCTCACAGGGAGGTCTCCACCGGGCCACACAGGAGAGCTCTGTGGGCTCACAGGGGCCACAGGAATCTACAGCCTATAGTGACTGAGGTAGCCAACAGCTCTTTGGTATAGGTGCAGGGGTGCAGCTGTAGCAGCTCCAGTTTTGTCTAATCCTGGCTCAGGTTGGTACCTTTAGCTCCTGTAAAACATGGCCTAGACACTTGAATTCCTGGGAAGACAGGCCTGGCACAGTCATAGAATGGGGCAGTTTGGAAGTAACCACAGTGGATCATCTGGTCCTACTCCCTGCTCCAGCAGGGTCATTCCAAGGCCCATTGCACAGGATTGTGTCCAGGTTCTGGAATATCTCCAGTGATGGAGACTCCACAGCCTCTCTGGGCAATCTTTTCAGTGCTCAGTCACTGCACAGGGAAATTCTTCCTCACATTCTGGTGGAGCTTCCCAGGCATCGGTTCCTGCCTGTTCCTGTTGTCCAACTGCTGGGCCTCACAAGGGTCCATCCCCCTTCCTGCAGACACTGACAGACATGGATCAGGTTCCCTCGCAGCCATCTCTTATCAAAGCTGAGCAGCCCCAGCTCCCTCAGCCTTTCCTCATAGGAGAGATGCTCCAATCCCTTCATCATCTTCACAGGTAGCTTTTCCTCCAAAAGTCAAAGGGAAGGGGGTTTGAAATGTGGTTGGCAAACGAACAAATGGTCACAGGGGTGGTGCCACAGGCAGGTGTCCAGCTTGGACCATAGGATGTACTTGGAGAAACCTCTTGGGACTGTTGGGGTCCTTCTGACACAGGGGGAATTTCAGTGATGGGCTTGCCAAGTTGTTGAGGGTCTTAATTTAAAGTTGTGTTAGGGGAACTTCAGGCCTTTCAGTTTAAAGCCAAGTCTAGTAAGAGCTGCCCAGAACATAGGGAGGGCTCACAGATCAACAGGAGAGCACCTGAATGGCAGCACAAAGGAATTCCAGCCACTCCAGCCACTTCTTTGCCTTTATCAGAGTCCAACTTACCTGCCTCTGTGCAAAGGCATGGGGAATGAACACAGGCAGCTGGACTCACTGGCACACCTGCAGGACTGCCAGCTCCTTGGCATCATGGTGTCTTGGTTCTAGAAGACAGGTTTCTGCTAGGGAGGGCAGGAGCCTCCCCTGGAATGAGAATGTAGAACCCCTCCCTCCAAATTATTATAATTCTGAAATCAAGGGCTTCTCAGGCAGAGATTTGGGGATAGGAGTAATTGTTCTTTACTAGCATTTATAACAAGGCAAACAAACAACAATAACTACAGCATTAACAAGAAAACAGAACCAGGGGCCCCGTGACAGCATTCTCGGCTGAGACAGGAAGGGATGGAGGAGAGGCTTTGTTTTCACAAACCCC